TCCAAACCACCACTAAGGGTTCTTCAACCATTATGGACTATGTTGACAAGAAACGAACTATATCCCATAGTCTAGCCCTTGCTGCCCGTCCCATAACAGACGAAGAACTTATGAGTGCTATTTTGTTCGGACTAGACTCTTCCTATGGACCTTTTCGCTCTGCCATTAACCCTCACCTTGATAACCTCACCACTGACTCACTTCTTGGTTTACTTCTCCAAGAAGAGGAGAAACTGGCTGAGGAAACCAAATCCTTCCAACTTCAAGCCAATGCCATATCTCGTCAATACTCCAACTGCTCCCCCATCACTGGATATCCTAATCAACAAAGTGTCACCACCTCTCAAAAATCCTCCACTCGCCCGACCAATACCAACCTCCCTCGTTCCTCTAATAGATCATCACCTCGCATAATCTGTCAAATATGTGAGAAACCCAACCACCATGCTCGTAATTGCTACAACCGCACCAACATGGATACTTACCCACCAACCTGATCCTCTAGCCGTCCACAAGCCAATATGGTTACTCCCTCGACTAATTCTATGATGTCTCCTTCGGCTATTATTGATAATTCATGGTTTGCGGACTCAGGTGCTACCAATCATATTACGTCAGACTTGTCTCAACTATCTATTCACACAGACTATAATGGTGAGGATCAACTTGCTGTAGGTAATGGCCAAAAACTCTCTATTAATCACATCGGCTCCTCTAAGCTTTCTTGTGCTACTCGACCTCTTCATCTTTATAAAATTCTTCATGTTCCTTCCATCACCAAGAGTTTACTGAGTGTTTCTCAATTTACTAAAGATAATAATGTCTTTATGGAATTTCATCCCTCTTGTTGTTTTGTGAAGGATCATCGGGGAAAAATACTACACCGCGGGTCAATTGATGATGGTTTATATCGTTTCGATGGTGGTGGGCTTCCTGTTATCTCATCCTCAACTCCTCGCGCCTTTGTCATATCTCGAGCATCACTCCAAGTGTGGCATGAGCGCCTTGGTCATCCCCATGAGCAACTTTTACGTCGTCTAGTCTCTAGTTTTAATCTTCCAGTGACTTCCAACAAAATGCCTTCAGTTTGTGGATCTTGCCAATTAGGAAAAGGTCATAGGCTCCCGTTAGCATCTTCCTCAAGTCGTAGTTTATTCCCTTTTGATTTGGTGTATTCTGATGTTTGGGGGCCTTCTCCGCATCTTTCTATTAATGGAAACAAGTAATTTGTTCAGTTTCTTGATGATTCTACTAAATTTGTTTGGATATTTTTCTTGTCAACAAAATCACAAGTATTTGATGTTTTTAAATACTTTCATAAGATGGTTTCCACACAATTTGGCAGAAACATCAAAACGTTGCAAACTGATTGGGGTGGGGAGTATCGTAATGTGTCTTCATATGCCCAATCCATCGGCATAACTCATCGTCTCTCTTGTCCTCACACTCATGAACAAAATGGGGCTCCAGAAAGACGTAACCGCACCATTGTGGAGAAAGGACTAACTTTACTTGCTCGCGCATGTCTTCCATATCAATACTGGGAGCATGCTTTTTCTACCGCCACATACCTACATAACTGTACCATCACTCCCATACTATCCTTTAAGTCACCCTATCAAGCTCTATGTCATCATCCACCGGATTACCAACTCCTTCGAAAATTTGGGTGTCTATGCTACCCTTTTCTTCGTCCTTACAATCATCATAAAATTGATTTTCGCTCTCTTCCGTGTGTCTTCTTGGGTTATAGTTCGAAGCATAAAGGTTATCTATGTCATTATCCCCCCACCAATAGGATGTACATTGCTCGTCATGTGACGTTCGATGAAGATAGATTTCCCTATCCTCATTACAACAAGTTTTCTTCTTGCTCCAGTGACAACTCACCACCCTTATCCTTAACTTCTCTACAATCAATTTCCAATGCGTTTCCCACATCTGCTACCTCACCTTTACTCCATTCACTAGCAGATTCCCCTTCCTCATCCTCCCTACCCACTCGAGTCCTACCAGTACCTCATTCATCCACCACAATATCTCCACCACACAATACATATCCGCCCGCCGTCGCGTCCTCTGCTTCAAGCACATATCAGAATGCTCCCACATATTTCCGGCCTACTACTTCTTCCAATCATCATATGACCACACGAGCTCAAACAAATTCCCTCAAGCCTAAAACACTTGTTGTATCTCGCCATCCTACCCCAGTTTCATCCGTTATAGCCAGTGAACCAAAACCCTATAAGCAAGCTGCATCCTCT